CTGCTGTGTTCATCCAGCTCTACACCTTGTTATCTCAGATTCTCCAGCATCTGCAGTTCCTACTATCTCTGTTCTGAACAAAGTAAGTTTTACAAAGTTAAGACAGTAAAACAGTCCATGTAGTTATTAACATCTCTGGGTTGCTGAGATACCTTGACCACATTTACTTTTTGATGTGCTCTGTGGGGTGTTCCATCAGAGTTTGTATATTGTCCATACTTGCCTCATTATAATTCTGGATATTGGGATATAACTTGTAGCAAACTGGTGGGACACCTCACAGAACATCAAAAAGTAAATGGTGTCAAGATTTCTCAGCAACCCCCAGAAGTTACTGACAGTGGCTTGCCAAATCTCACTAAAACATTGTTTCCTTTTATAAGGGATTTCAATTCCTTTCTCTAAGATTCAGCTTCAGACAATACTCAACATGTGCAGGCACAGACTGCCTCAACAACTGCTCACATCCGGGGAACTTTGATCTCTTCCCTGAGACTGCATTCTACTGATTCTTGAGGTTGCACTCCAGCATTTGTTAATGGGCACACAGCTCCTTGACACAGCTAGCTTCACTAAGCTTACACTACCCTTGGGATTTCTGAGTTTCAATATTTCTCAGCTTCACCATGCAAATACTGCTTGTCGGCTTCCTTCATCCCTGTTCTCAGCTGCATTGAACCATCAATGACTTTCAGGATGGCATCTGCCCTAACAACCATAAATTTTCCAGCTCTTTAGCACTCTCTTAAGCACTCAACTGCAGCTGCCTTCTCCCAGTAAATACATACTCAGACAAGTTGACACCAGGAAGCCTTCTTAGGTTCCACCCATCTCCATGACAGCATAGCCTGCTCTGAGCTCGTTTATTTTATTTTAACTCCATTTTATTTCAACTCTCACTGCTTTTAAATTAACTTATCTTTTAACTCCCAAAACAAATGATCTCTAATTTTATTTGTTTACTGGTACTAGAAACATTGATAGTCTCTTAAAGCACTGTGACCTCAGTTTTTTAAGTGTAATGGACTTCAACTTACATTAGTCCCATTTTGTACAGTTAAGGTTAATTTTCTAAAGATAAAAATAATATACTAAAATACATGAGCTATGAAATAGGTATTTGCAAAAATAATCAAGAATCAATGTGAATGATCACTACAAATGCCCATTGATCATAGAATAAAATCATAGAATCCCTACAGTTTGGAAGCAGGCCATTGAGTCCACGCCGACCCTCTGACAAGCATCCCACCCAGACCCCCCCCCCCCCCCACCCCTGTACACCTGCATTCCCCATGGTTAACCCACCTAGCCTACGCAACCCTGGACGTTATGATCAATTTAGCATGGCCAATCCATCTAACCTGCACATCTTTGCACTGTGGGAGGAAACCGGAACACCTGGAGAAACCTGCACAGTTCACGAGGAGAATGTGCAAATTATACACAGTCGCCTGACGCTGGAATTGAGCTGACGTTCCCGGCACTGAGACGGCAGTGCTAACCGCTGAGCCACCATTCTGCCTCTGTTGGTTGAAAGATTCCCCATCTGAATTTTATTCTAAGTTTCCCAGCTATTATCTCCTTTGACAACTTAGTTTAGCTCACTAGCTGCATTCCTAGAATTGTCATCACAAAGGAACTTTGTGTAATCATTTGAGTTTATAATTTTGTTTTAGTTTGTTCCAATAACTTCTGGTTAAATATTTGTTATGCTTCTTAAAATCTTCTGCCATGAAGAACAAGGGATTGCTCCAATCATGTTCAGGTCAGTTTGAGTTCAACAGCATTTTGAGGTAAAAGATGTTTAGGTAGATTGGAGGAATTTGATTTTGCTGTGATGAAGTTATTTAAACAAGAATTTCCAAGTTGCATTTCAAGAGAAGAGCCACTATAAATAAATGGTCATTGCTATCTTAGAGCAATTATTTTTCCAACACTTATAAATGTTTGAACTTCTGCTTATTCATGTAAATCTTCAATTTTATTAAAGAATTGAAAGTGATGTATTTAACTATATATGTCCAAATCTGTCACTTTGTTCTCTCTGAGTAAGCCAATAAGTAAAAGATGTTTTTGGAACTTCACGGCTTTTGCGTTGAGTTGTGATATTTGTAAAGTTCAAACTAGTTTTCATAAGAGCACAATTTGAACAGATGGTGTTATACCTAAAACTTTGGGTAATGCTTATGTCAGAAATCTTGGAACTAGTGATGCCAAGTATGTTAGGAAATCTCTGCTGGCAGTGGCTATATAATTTATTCAAACCAAGAGCCCAGAAAGATAAGTAACCATCTGATGCAAAGATAAATGATATCTTGGTGCAACTGGAAAATAACTTAGAAAGTGAGTTAGAAGATCTAGTTGTTATGGCCACATAGGGACCATTAATGTGGGGAAGGAAAGGAAATATATTCTGCTAAGGGACTATTGGAAATAGGAAGTAAATTTAGAAAGAAAAGCATCTCACAACATCTTAATTTTGAAATTGCTACTTGAGTCACATTCTAGTTGTTTAGAGATAGGCAGATCGGGAAGGTGAATGCTGTCTGAGGATAATGGAGGAAAGAGTGGCTCTATTTCTTTGGGTATTTCCATTGGTACTGTAACAAGATGTGCTACTTAAATCTCCACTTGAACCAGCATCCTAACCAGAGTCATAACAAAAAGGATAAATAGGGCTGGTGATGTAAATTTATCTTGTAAATAGTTAGTTGGAGGGTGGAGGTGAGATCTGGTGAAATTGACCTAAGTGTGAAGACAAAAGAATTAGAAATTGAGAGTCAAGGTCAGAGCAAGACGAGGAGGAGGTGGAATATAAATAATGCAGAGGTGCTGTTATAGAAGCATAAAAGGAGTGGTAAAAGTTAAGTGAAGAGAACTCCTAAAAATGGATGAAATTCCTGGGCACTATTGAAAATAAAACATGGAAAGGGGAGACGATAATCCACAGTGACAAACTGGGTGTAGCAGAAATAATTGCAATGTACTAAGTGAGTTAGGCGAGTGATAACATGCTTGTGTGTATGTCAAGTCTTTCAGTTAAAGTTAACATGCAGCCAATGTATTTGGACTTGTAACAAGCTTTCAGTAAGGTACTGCATAGTAGACGCATCGTTAGTCCTCCTCCATTGTCACACTCTTCTGCCTGAACCTGTTCCCATTTTGAACGGCCTCCTTTGTCTCCACTGTTCCAACTGGCTGATATTGCTGTGAAAACTTGTATGAATCCTAGATTTTTTGCCTGTCATTTTTGTAGTCTTAGTCCTAGACGTTCTAGTCCTGCATGGAACCCTTTCCTGAACCCTTATTTTCCCCATATATTGGTGCTATTTACTGCTCTTGCTGTAAACTGGACAATTTCATCAACATTCCTTTTCAATTTCCACCGTTTTAATATACCTATCCTATCTCCAATCTTCCCCCTTCTTATCCTATCCCTTGAAATTGAAAACAATGAGCAAATATGCATTTCATGCCCATTGACTCTGAAGCTACCTTAACTACGTTTTCTCCTACCCGACTTTCTGTAAGGACTTCAATACATTCTGTCAGTTTCTCAATATGCAGTTGCACCTGCTGCTTCTCCCACTGATTGACTGACTGGGCTCTTGATCCTGTCCATTTCATTTTCAACGTTTGTCATCCCTTCACCTTCTGGCCAGGACAATAGCGTGTTTCTTCTATCTTCACTTCTCCATCCCACTATCATTCTGACCTTGACCTACTGCATCGCTCCACTGGAGCTCAGATTAAATTTAAAAAGTAGCATCTTGTCTTACTCCATTATAAATTCTTCAGTTTCAGAATCAAAATTGAGTTCCAAAAATTTCAGATCATAATTTTTGACTCACCTCTTTTTTTTTTTCTTTTTGGGAGGCAACTCTTTGTATTTAGTCTTTTTCCATTTATATCTCCTTGAGACACATTTGTTTAGTTACTTGTCTGGTTATTATTTCCTTTTGCTTTGTAGCATATCCCCTTTTGCCATTTAACCTCTTCTGCCATCCATTCTGTCAGTTTGAACTAGACTGTAGGTAACTTTTGTGTCTTAATTGACCCTGAGCTATGCTTCCAGTTGTAATTTGACAGCATAATTTAAGATTGACTATGTCTTTCTTTTAAAAAAAATCACCTCAGCCCACTCCACTTGAACTTGTCTTTTTTACAGCTATGTTTGACTATTTCAATGAACTCAGGGCTGGTATCCCACTTTTGACCTTTTTTAGAAACTTGAGGCAATCCAAAACTATGCTGCCCAAGTCCTAACTTGCATCACCAACCAACATCCCTGAATTTGCGAGCGAGCATTGTGGTGGTGTTTAAGCAGGTACCAGTTTTTAAAAAAAATTCACCCTTGCTTTCAAATTCCTCCATGGTTTCATCCTTCCCCATCTCTATAATGTCCTCCAACCATAGAATCCTAAAGTTCTGCAATCGTCTAATTTGGGCCATTCAACATCCCATCACAGGCCATGCCTTCCATGGTCCGTACCTAAGCTCTAAAATTGCCTTCCTGAACACCTCCAACACTCAACCTGTTGTTTCCTCCTTTTAAAGAGCTTGTTTAAAATCTACCTCTCCAATTGAGCTTTCAGTCATCCATCCTAATATCACGTAACGTTGTTTGATTTCAGGTTCTTGGCACACTTTAATTAAGCTAAAAGAATTGTATGAAAAAAAATTGTTGATTAACCCTCATCCTTGCTATCCTGTCTCTAAACTGGTTTAAAACCCATTGCATCAACCTTTTCCAGTCCTTCTGATAGGATATCAACCTGAAATGTTAACATTTATGGATAGAGTGAGTTAACAGACCTTGGTTATGTATCTCCAGCATGTTAGTATTTCAGCTTTCTGCCATATGCAGTATTTCTCTTCACACTTACCTTTTCTTGTATTACGTCAAATTTTTAATCCCATTTTAGGACTTAACCAGTTTTTTTCCTCTATAAAAGGTAGAGGAGCAGATCCAAATAAACCACCTTGTCGCAAAGCAAAAGATATTCGGAGGGAGATGAAACTGAAAAAACTGCTTCAGAAACAGCGGCAAAAAGAAATGGTAGATGTATCCCAGCACCAAGAACCCTCTTCTTCCAACCCTCGCACTCACCCTCTGGAGCACCATGCCACCCAAGTAAATAAACCAAAATCATTGGAAGAATTCATTTCTGAGTCTTCAACTCCAGATGCAGCCCATAAGCTCGAGGTAATTTTTAAATTTCTGTTTGGTTTATCTTACTGGTACTTTTGTCCTTTTTAATGTTGCTGTACTAATTTCAGTATAGCATATTTCAGATACCATGACTTTAGTATTAATATTGTCAGATTGGTTTTCAACACAATATTTCAAAACTTTTTGTAGTTTAGGAGTCATGGTCAAATTATTCAATTAACATTAATTTCACCCTTTATAGACTTTTCAAAATTTCCCTTTTGGGGTCAAATTCGATGAATGCTGAATTGATTATTAGTTTGCCATCATTGCAATTTAAGAACTTGAGCAGTTTTTCCAACTAATTTGATAACATTTACAATTAGTTTTAATGCAGAATATCAAAATGTAAATGCCATGCATTGCTAAAGGTTTTTCTTCTCAACACAATATTGTATATTTATAGCTTATCATATTTTTTATCCATACGTGCTCTGAAATTATTTGAGATAAGCAAGTCTTTGCAGTACGTGGGTTTATCCAAGAAAATAAAATGTTTATCATGCCATATTTTTCATGTATTTTGATGCCTAATGCTTTCCAAAATGTAGCAAGTTATTCTTGGCAATGATCAATAAAATTTTGTAACAAACTGGAGAAAATGTAGTTGATTGTAGCACTAAAACGCCTAATAGGTGCTTTTCTAAATTGGCAAAACTTGTCACATTTTAATTAAAAATCTTGCATATAACATTTGTAACTTTTCAAACATGTTCATACTACACAAGGAAAAAAAACCACATGATGGAAGGAGTTGCATGTTTTTTTTTGATCAAAATGCTAACAAGGAGAAAAATCTTATTATTTTTCGTCATCCCACTATATATTAAATAAAATGTTAGCATAATTGATATGATCTGTCACCTGTCAACATTCCTTGTTACTTTTTCAGTGATAATTGCATCCAGAACTTTGTTAAATTTAGATTTTTCTGATTCTATGTAATGCCTGTTTTTCTCATGAAACTATGAATGAACCAAGCTGGAAACTGATAAAACATATAAACTTTTAAAATTCTATGATTATTTATTGGTATTCTCATTGTTTAGTAATTTTTATTTGGCCAATTTTTAAAATGGTTTTGGAAGTCACTTGATCACATCATCATGTCTGTGGTGAGATTTTCCCGGATAGTAACAAATGAAATTTCAAGCTTGCATGATGGTAAAGGTAGTTGGTCATAGGTATAATTTGGTATGGACCATAAATCAGAAAAATAAATTAACAATTGTGCAGTTATAAATAAATGGCTTAAAATCCCCAAATAAATCCGTCAAGGGCAGCGTTAATGTGCCAGCTCATAAATGCAGAGTTGGAAAATCAGTGGGCCTCTTTGCAAATCTCCTTGTCTATTCAAGAAGCTTAAAATTAAGCATTATTCTATTTACCAAATCGCTGTATTAATTCTATTCAGTATAACTGACTACATTGGATGCAAATATTTATGTTTCTTTAATATGAATGATATTCAAAGCATATTTTTGTTACATTAAAAGCATATTTTTTCCATCCTCTACAATTCCCAAAGGAACTGATATGCAAAATATTTTTTTAAAAGCAGAGCTATTACGAACAACTGCTAGCTTGTTCATTTCCAATTTGCTTAATGAGTCCTTGCATTTTATTTATTTATTCCATATCTTAATTTAGTTGTTCTGGAATGAGATCAGTTTAAGCTATCTATCTGGAAGCTAAAATTTTGAAGAGTTGTGAAGAACTTTGCATATATATTGAGTTGGACTTCTTCTACTGAACGACCGTATTATGTAGGGCATTGGTACTGGTTCAGGCCATTAGAATAATAATGTTCTCAAATGGGTAGATGTCAGAACTGAATAATATACCATGATACATAAAAAAGCTCAACAGTAGATTTTTAATTTTACAATAATCAATTTACAATAATTCATGAGTAGTATTTATAGTAAATAGAGTTAATGTGGTAGTACAGTGCTACACTTTGTAATCTTGTTGAAAATAACCATCTTATAACTGAGGTCTTTTTACTTAATTATTAGGAATTTTGAGTTAACTTTTCTATAGCTGTTCACGTACCTTGCTTTAATAAAATGCTTTTCTTTTTGCCGCCTGAAGGTGAGACTAGTGAGGTCATCTCCACCAAACTCCCAGTTCAAAGCAACTTTTCAGGAGTCTTACCAGATCTATAAACGGTACCAGATGGCCATTCACAAGGACCCCCCTGATAAAGCAACTGAATACCAGGTCAGAATAAGATGTGCATAATTCATAAAATTTAAGAGGTAAAGCAACCAGCCCAGTGAAAGGATTATCACTTAGATTCATGTCGGGGAAAAAAATAGTTCTGTTTCTATACCATATCAGTGATTACTCCGTAATATATAAACGAAGGCAATGCTAAATTAAAAATGAAATTAAACCAGTGAGAATGAATATGCCAAAAAGAAAATCATGTACAAAATGTTTGTATATCCATAAATAGTGCAATTTCTTGAAAAACAATTTTGTGATCTGATCAAGACAATGACAAGACTTCAAAGCAGAGATGTTTCAATTTTCTTTTTGATTGGTGATTGATAAATTAATATTATGAACCATACAAAATTATGTTAATGTAAAATAATGCTGGTCTCGATCTGAAACTTTGTCCTGGGGAGGACCTCTGCTCATATGTGGTTGTATCAAAAGGTCTCAACCACCAGTTTTATTTGCTGTGGGCTTTGAGGTAGGTGTATATGCTCTAACCATTTAAATTAACATAAATCAGTTCCCACTGAGCAGAGTAGATTAATTTGATCTCTCAGTAAATTGACATTCTAACTAGATATTGACCTAACAATATGTATGAATTATATTTTGAGTCCTTGGGCAGAGTTTGGAACTTCTATTGTAGAAAAGATGTTAAAACAGTGTGTATTGTACAGTACTGGAACTATTTCCATTTCCTCAGAAAAGCGCAAGAGCAGAGTCATGGAGGTTTTTGATAGGCTGCATTGGGAAAGGGTACTTCTTTTGTTGAGGAGTGATTAATTTAAAAGAACCATGAAAGAAATTGCCTCACCTGCTTTTCCTTCAAGTCTGATTCAAAAACCATTACATACTGATGATCCTAAACTTTTATGTGATGTGCCCTAACATCCACAAAGGAACTGACGGATATTTTAAAAACAGAAGATCTCTCTCATTTTGATCTCTCCTGCAGCTTTCATTTTGCCACATTGTCAAATGAGCAGTTCCTTGCTTACGAAGGAAGAGCCAGGCAGATTAAAGTTTCCCCACCTCATTTGAAGCCAATTTGAAAGGCTTGTTAGCAACTTGGAAATTTAGTCTGTATTAGATATAAAATTACAAATCAGCTGCAGAAAAAAGTGCATATTGGCAAAGCTAAGCATGGAATAAACAAATTTATGAATTATTATAAAATTATTCAGATTACTTTGACACGTTATATTGGGAATAGGATACATAATAGGTTTTTGAACTGAACTGAACTGGATTTGGAGGAGAATCTGCACTAATCTTACCTTCAGTGGTAAAATCACATGGTAATTTTTCAAGTTCACTTTAGCTTTCTATTGCCAAAGTTTTTCCAATGATTTGCCTACTTTGCAAATTTACATGGATCTCCTGCTCTGAAGGTGAAACTAGTGCCAGTTTCCTTCGATGACCCAGATTTCATTGAATCCTTTAACCAATCGGCAGCTTTGTATGCCAAGTATCAGATGGCTGTACACCACGATTCACCTGATGAATGTAGTGAATCACAGGTAAAACTCTTTTTTTGCATTTGTTATTTTACTGGTTCTTATTAAAATGTAATCCATTTAAATAACACTTTGAGGGGGAATGTACTTTGTTACAAAGCCAGTTCACCAGCTTCATTTTCTGCTTATGTGTTTTATTCTTCATATTTTTCATGATTGTATCACATCATGAAGACTGTGCCAGGTCTTTGCCACTTACATAATCTTTGATAAAATGGACGTGATGGTCTATATAGTGGTGCTATATTGGCAAGGAAAAATTAGAGGTAGAATATTTGCTCCATATCTATATATCTATCTACGTAGAAGATAGATATGTGATCATACCTATTTGTTAAAGCTATTTCTTGTACATCTGCATTGTGGTTATATTTATTTATATTATACATATGTATATCCTTCTAAAACAAAAGTTATATTATTGAAAAAGGCACATCTGGAGCTCTGAAGAGCATGGTGACTGATCACGTGTCAGTGTATCGTTTACTGGTGAACCAGTTTTCTAATGCGACAGAATGTTAAGTATACTTCGAATTTATATGTCTCAAACCCTGTCCTGAATATCAGGGTTGCATAAATAACATAACATCTTGATTTGGTGATTATTCTGATATAGGTTGACAGCCTGTTGTATTTGAAGTTGTCCCAAGCTGTATTTCTGTTTTCAGGCTCAGAAACCAAGCTGTCACAAAAATGTTTTTGAGATAATGACCAAAATGTTGGCATTTATATACACTCTTGTGAAAGCTAAATTTTGTGTTATAAGCTAGTGTTTCTTTTTAAAACTAGAATTAGTGTGCCCTGTTGTTTCATTTCAAACTTTGCAACATTGATAGTTAGAAAAATAATACAAGTTAACAAAGTTGCATTTTCAACAGGCAATGTATTTTACAATGTAATTAATAGCTTCTCAGTAAGGCACTGCCTGGGAACAAACCTGTTGGAGGGAATAGTAAACACCGATTTGCTTTTGTGATGTTCATGCTAATAAGTGGTATTGTGTATTTATTTTGGACAGATCATATGCCTCTTGTCCACCAAAATTACACCTTGAATGTTAATTTTGTTACAAAATTTGTGCAATGTCTACTTTGTCCCCGGTGTTAACACTGGAATGTTAATGTTTAGCTCAAAGATACAAGTTGACAGGTATGTAATTATTCTTGAAATCACAAAACTATTTGTATTCGGTTAAGCTGTTTAATTTTTTTTTACCTAATTCATTATGATGTAGCCTTAAATTGCAGAATCTTGTGTTGCATTTTCATATAAATCTGTATTTTCTCAAATTTGTCAGTTTTAAATTATCTTGCTGATTTGCTAAGTGTCTCAGAAACCACTAAATTTCATCCCTTCCTTCAAACACAGTGGTTTTGCATAGCTTGGTTTTATCTGTTAGTGTAAACATTTTACTTAATTATCATCAAGGCATTTGAACATTTTTTTTCAGTAACTGGACTTTGACTTTTGAGTATTACAAGTTTCCCATTATTTGGCTGGTTTTGTTTAATAATTTGCTGTGTACTTCTGTATCCCAAGAGCTTTGACTTCCATTTTCAGAACAGGTGTACAGAACCCACTGCATCTACTGATGTAGAATGTTAGATTTATTAATAATGATCTGTAGCTTTAATTGAAGATCTGATACACATTGGTCATCAGAAAGTCAGTGCCAGGGAATCCTTATTCTAGCGTGGATGGAGTTGCATAGTTGGACCTGTGGAATCTCCATTGTATTAGACTTTGGGAGACTTGCCCAGGAAATTGAAGATTCCACTGTCCAGGAGTCGTCTTTCAAGTCAACGAATTTGGATGAGTCTGATGAAATTAAGTAAAATAGCAACTCAGGAAAATTTTAGGTGATGAAATAGTCTAATTCATGAGTAGCTGTTTGATAGACACCTTCTTACCACACATACAGACACACACTACACGTCCCCCAGACCCTACTTTCCCTCCCTACCCCCCCATCCACCTTTTACCTCAGGTTCTGACACCCTTTTTTCTGCTTCCCATCCCTGACACCCACTTCTTCACACCTCCATTAGACTCTATTTCTAGCACCCACTCCGATCTACCCTAGTCATTGCATCACTTACCTCACCTTGCCATCTTCCATGGCATCCTATCCACTTGGCACCCTACTTAGCGGGCGTCCTACCCCCTACTCATCTAGCATCTATCCCTCCAGCCAGCAGACTATCTATTTGGCACTTAGTTGGTACCTAATCCCCTATTCATCTGGCATCCTTCCCATTTAATGCCCTACTTATCTGATGGCACATTATCCCCCTAGCCATCTGGCTGTCCCAGCACCCTAACTTCACGTTTCCAGTATATACTTACTATTTGAGAACAGCTATCAAAATGGCTCTTGGGGCCTTCAAATTTCAGAATATGACAGTTGACTGCTGTGGAAATAGACCATGTTTAGCCTTCCCCCAATACTTCTATACTACGAAAGGATTGTCAGAATGGAAGTATGGTTCCATATTTCTGAAGGAGTTCTGATTTGAATCTCCTCTCAGAAATGCAGAACTCTTTTTATTTAGTTAAAAAGAGGGGCTTAATTGCAATCTGTGATTGGCAGTCCTCAGAAAATTTAGCCCACTATTTCCAATTAATCAGATCTTGATCATTTACAATTTCAGTATAGCTAATGCTATAATTATGCAAGTATGTTTGTGGAGGTGATTCTGAAAGAATTTATGTGCATTTGGAGAGGCAAGGAATGATTAGGGATAGTCAACATGATTATGTGCAAGGGAAATAGTGTCTCTTAAACTTGATTGAGTGTTTTTTTTTGACGAAGTAACCAAAAGGATTTGAGGGCAGAGTGATAGATGTTATTTACTTGGACTTTTTTCTTTAACAGTTTTCAGCATAGTAGACTAATTAGTGAAGTTAGATCACATGGGATTCAGGGAGATGCTTGCCAATTGGATACAAAATTGGCTTGACAGTAGGAGACGGTCATGGAGGGTTGTTTTTTGGACTGGAGGCCTATGATCAGCAGTGTGCCACTGGGATCAGTGCTGAGTTTACAGCTTTTTATCATTCTATATAAATGATTTGGATGTGAATATAGGAAGTATGATGAGTAAGTTTGCAGATGTCCCCAAAATTGGTGGTATAGTGGACAGCAAAGAAGGTTATCTAAGATTACAAAGAGATCTTGATCAATTGGGTCAATGGGCTGAGGACTGGCAGATAGAGTTTAATTTGGATAAATGTGAGGTATTGAATTTTGGTATAACAGTTAATGGTAGGGCACTGGATAGTGTTGTAAAACAGAGACCCAGGAGTTCAGGTACATAATTCTTTGAGATTTGTGTCATAGGTAGACAGGGTAGTTAAGGTTTTTAGCACGCTTCCTTCATTGCTCAGACTTTTTTCATTTAGGAGTTGGGATGTCATGTTGAGGTTGTACAAGTTGTTGGTGAGGCCTGTTCTGGAGTAGTGTGTACAGTCCTGGTTATT